TACGGGTGCTGCAATTGGTCCGGAGATATCCAACAAATCCATTCGGTGCCAGAATGTCCGTTGAAATCGTGGACACACTGGAGGCGGTTAGGCGTTGGCGTTGTCAGGCGGCGGCGGCGGCAGTTGAGATTTGCGTGTCCCTCGTTTGGCTTTGGCGGTGGTGATGCGGTTGGCTTCGTAGATCGCAGGGCCCGTCTTCACTGACCTCCTCCACGTAGGTCGGTCGGGCGCCAGGTCTTCCCAGTTTGTCGGGCGCTTGAGGGAGGTTTTTAGAGCATCCTGGTAGCGCCGAACTTGACCTCCTTGGCGGCGGAAACCCGTGACGACATCTCCATAGAACAGTCGGTTGGGTAGCCTCTTGTCGTTTATGCGTATGAGGTGGCCGCTCCAGCGTAGTTGTAGTCGTCTCGGCATAGCATAGGTGTTGAGGATTCCCGTCCGCTCCAGTACGTCCGTGTCTAGGATCCGGTCCTGCAACCTCAGCTGCAGTATTCGGCGAAGACAGCTGAGGTGGAAGTGGTTGGGTCTACGCGCCTGCTTCATTTAACCGTCCAAGTCTCTACTCCATATAGCAACGTCGGTAGGATGATGACCTTGTACATCTTCAGTTTCGTGCTTAATTGAAGACCGTGACGATTCCAAATTGTATTTTGAAGACGACCGAAGGCTTGACTGGCCTCGGAAATCCGACGGGCCACTTCATCGTCGATTTTGGTGTTGCGGGAGAGGGTGCTGCCCAGATACGTGAAGTTTTCCACCACTTGCAGTTGGAGGCCATTCATGTTGATTTACGGCGCATTTTGGGCGCCATTCACGTTGATTTGGAGTGCGATGTAGGCAGTGTCGGGTGGCGGTGGTGCATGACAACCGTCTTCTCCGTATTAATGACCGGACTGAAGTTCTTGCAGGCGGGAAAAAAGAAATCCATGCTCCTTTGCATGTCCCCTTCCGAGGTGGTGTTGAGGGCGTAGTCCTTGGTGAAGAGAAGTTCGTGAACCATGGTTGTGGACACGCGCGATCGGAAGTGCATCCGCCATTGATTGAGGAGGCGGCCGTCCGTCCTGTAGGCGACGCGGATCCCCGGGCTTGCGTCACGGTAGGCGACCACAAGCATGGCAGAGAACATGAGAGTGAAGGAGATAGGGACGAGGGCGCGGCCCTACTTCACTCCGTTGGTCACTGCGAATGCCTCTGAGACAGCTTCCCTGTTCGTGATGCGCGCCTTCATGACAACGTGGGGCTGACGCTCCATCTGAGTGAATCGTTCGGAACAGCCGAATTTCTGCATGATTTTCCACAGTCCTTTATGATGCCCGCTATGGAAGGCTTTCGTCAGATCCACGAAGGTAGAGTAGAGGTTAATCCGCATCTCCTGATACTTCTACTGCAGTTGACGGGCGGCGAATATCATGTTGGTGGCCCCACGATGACGGCGGAAGCCGCACTGGCTTTCCGGCAGAAGAGCGCCGTCAGGTGTTCCATGAGTTGGGGGCCACCGCGATTGTAGATCTCAGCAGGGGTCGCGTTCGATTCGGGCGCATTCCCGCTGGAGAGCTGCTGCAAGACCCTTATTGTCTTGTGGAGAGAAAGAGGGAGGTGGAGGTCAACGATGGTCTCCACTTGAGACTTGCGGTCGATGGTGGCGTCAGAGATGGTGGATTGACGGTTCAGGACGCCAGGAAGTGCTCGGCCCATCGCTGTAGAATTTGGGTCTTCTCAGTGAGTAGGGTAATGCCGTCGGCGCTGAGAAGAGGTGCAGTTGCTTCAGTTGGCGGATCGTAGACCGTTTTGATCGTGGCGAAGAGGTTCTTCCATTCGTTGTGGTCCGCATACGTTTGTATGTACTTGACCTTGCGAGCCATCCAGGCGTTCTGCATCTGGCGGAGCCGCTGTTGCACAGAGCGACGACTACGGTAGAAAGCAGCTCTGTTTTTGTCGGTAGGATGGTTAACGTAGGCTGTGGTTCAGGCGGTTCTTTTTGGCGAGTAGGTTGCTCATGTCAGCTCATGTCATCAAATCAGCCCTGGCACTGGCGGCATACTCCTTAAATTTCCACACATCTCTTAAGTAAATGCATTTGTGCTTCATCTCATCCTTCATGTTGAAGCTCCGTGCTTGCGTGGCATTTGCCGCTTTTTTCAATACTTCAGTTTTTAGTTAACCACAAACTTCAAGCAGACGAGAATGCCAAGGAAACTAGCTGATTCTCTTCTTTCTCCTTCCTTGTAAATCGTGTCCGGGAATACGGCATCGAGCTGCTCTTCGACTGTCAGCACTCTAGCCTATTCGACTACGACGAGGGTGTCATCTACATACAAAGACCAGAATTTCAGTCTGTGGTACTGAAAAACCAGCGACTCCAATATTTGCAACACCGTCTCGGCTACGAGTCCAAAAAGCTAAGAACCCGACTGCGTGGTTTTCGCCTGCTTATATTTTGTTCTGTTATATTTGAAGTAAGTCGTGAGACAGGACTCTAGGACCTGAAGGATTTTGACACTTCCAATAACTGTGCTTTTCATCATATTCACTTTGAGAGGCATTTTTAAAGTCTTGACTGTCAGATCCTAGAGACTAAGAGTAAAGACGGGCGTGACCTCAAAATCTACCATAACCTTGGTTGGCAGGATGCTTACGCCCTTAGGTCTGTCCAAGAATTGTGTTGAAGAACTAAGTGTGGTGTCCGCATCCACATTCAGAACTTCAAAACGCCGAAACGACCATTTTTCCAATCTGCAAGTTGGCTGGCCTTTGAGTGATACGATGGGTGGGAGAACCGTGCCCTCCTTGAGTATTAATAGGAAGCCATAGAATCTGGGCATGATCATTTCTTCAGCTCTTGTCACGCGTCCGTCGATGAACAATGTTTTATTGGAGTTTTCTAGTGCTAACAACGACACGTTGGTTCCGCCTGACGGTGTTTTTTCGCGTTGTTTTCGTGTGCGCTTTTGGTCTTCTGTGGGTAGCCTGTTCAGTTCAGTTCGACAGTGGAGCGTCCTTGCCCACGGACACATGAGCGAGCTATTTGACGGCCTTGAGTCCCCTTATGTCATCACGTTTGGCCATGGGATATACTTCAGGGGGCTGCAAGTAGTAAGACGAGTCGCTAAGTGAGAATAGGATGTCAATTATATGGTAAAGGGCGCTCACCGATCGCACTACGGAGCATAAATATCCCCTTCTGCCTTGGGACACAATCTTCTCAGACTCAAACACTGATCCTGTTGGTTGGATGTCTAGCGCTCAAACCATTAAGCCACGGACTCTTTGTCCTGTCGACTTATAAAACTGACATTTTCACTCCAGTCTCTCTTGTTTCTGTCGGTAATGCCATTCCATTTAACGTTTTGGGACTCCTCCATCCCTTCTGTCTCACCAAGGACTGACCCCACTGATGTAATTATGCAGACAGGTTTAGCAGCAGCTGTGTTTAATGGGGCATTATTCCACAACACTCGCACTTGTTCCTTCGTCACTTCCTTCGACGACATTTGTCGTTTTTGGGCGATACAATGCCAGACAGATTGTGAGACCTGTTCTCCAATTCCGCGTCGCATATCGTCTTCTGTTCTTGGGCTCATCCAGTCACCCTCTGCTGAAACAGTTTTGCATGGTTCTCTCCCATTAGCTCACAGCACTCTTCCTTTGGTCACTTTCGTGACAGTTCCTGACAAGCCTATCACGACGGTCTTAAAGAAGTACCCGGACCATTCTTCTGTCATGTTGAAATATTCCCTGCCTCGTCGGCTCCGCAGTTTCCGTTATTGTTAAGAATTCTCGCTAGCAAGAAGGGGAGGAAATATTTTTGACGTCCTGTAAGGCTTCAAAGTGAACCGAGTATATTGTGTGCTTAAATAGACTTTCTCGGACACTAACTTTGACACGGAGGTGCTCGTTCTCCATGCTGTATGACCGATCTTTTGCGTGCGTGACTTGATTGAGTTTGTCAGCTTGGGGGTTTACGACCAGTCTCCATCTTTTAAATGAGTCTTCTTATTGTGGGCAAATCTGAGAAATAACGGAAGGACTAGATTGTTTTCTTCTGCTGATAACGAAACATGTCCCTAATTTGCCACAAAACAAATAATTTGTCAATACAGCCTTCTTACAATGTAAATTCCCTGGTTTTCCTTTTTCATTCGTCATTAGCGAAGTGGAAAGGATACGGGAGGACAATCATGAAGAGTCGATTTACGTCCGGAATTTGAACATCACATTTTAGAGGCAGGACAGTTCTGCTCCAGTCTTTTGCTACTGAGCCATCCACACAAACCGATCAGAAATAACATCGGGACAGCTTTTACAGATGTCGGCTGACTGCTCATTTTCGCTAGAGGCTCTGTAGTTTCAAAGAGGCTAGAATACCACTCGAATTTCAACAGGGTTTGCCGTGCTTTCATTATCATAGGCAGACTGGGCAGGAACACCCGCGGCAAAAGTCACGTTGAGTTCATCTAGAGATGGCAAAATAATCAACTTAGACTGTATTCTTCTTAACGCACCAATTTTCCACACTGTGTCACAATGGGCGGCCCGCCCTCTATTTGACAATTTTACAAACTGCTGAAGTACTCCGGAACAATTGCCAAAGAAGCCGAGTAGGCTTCCTCGTGTCGCCGACACTGAAGACGCATTTCAATTAGGAGGCCATGTTCTGTCAGTGTCGGTGCGAGTCTACGAAATACTGACTGCGTCGCCTGCGGAATTGGAGCCTCCGGCAGTTGGGCGACGTAGCACGTTATCCCTAACGGTGCTGACCGTCTGGTGTTGACGTCACCTGTGTCTGACGTGCGTAAGCAGAGGCCCAGCGACTTCTGTTCTCAAATGAGTCCGTCTTTCATTCGCATCTCATGGCTGGGCGCCAATATTTTCCAAAAAGGTAATAGGTATGATATTGTTAAAGATGGTTGACTACTTAGCTGGTTAGAGTTAATGAACAGCAAGTTTCTGGGCCAAAAATACAGTCATCCCCTAACGAATGCATGGTGCTCGCCGTCGGTCTTAGCCTACACACCAGACAGCAGTTGAGGATTGCACTCGACCAGTGTTTGCACACAAATGTGTAGGCAATCTGTGTGACTATTTTCCAGGCATCTGTCTAACAATTGGACAAGTGCGATTTGGGTGCTGGGAACTGGTGTTGGCCACAACCAACACAGCAGCCTTGCCAGAGCCCAGAAGTCAGCCGCCAAAGGCAATCTTAAAAAGAATGTAGCGAGAAATGAGCTTACTATATACCAACCTCTGCGAAAGTTTTGGTTTTTAAAAGAAATAGAGTAGAGAATCACGCTTGTAGAACTTGTCTATCTCATTGTTGTTCGTGTTGAACTTATCCTGGTAAATGTGGCTTTCCGTCGTATACAGGCATTGCGGTGCAGCCCAATCGTAGCGTAATGTCTATGAGAGTTGTAATAGAGTTCTTTCCAACAGTGCTGATGGACGGCGTCCGATCCAGTCATTGCGGTTGCTCAGGTGAGGGGCTCGAACAATCGGATATTCAACAAAAGAAGGTTGTCATAACCGGGGATTGTGCGTCTCGGCCTTCAGTGGGTGGCGCACGTTCTAACTGAATTTTCCCGCTTTTAAGCAGAAGACCCTTCCGCACCCGGCCCACTGGTGTAGACATTTTAGCCTGGTACATATTCATTAAGTCGCGTACACCCATGGCGTTACGCAGGGACTGGTTCACATGCTGTCCTCGGTTTCGTCTGGCGCATAAATTTGACCCCAAACGATAAAGTGAAACTTCATTATACAATTGACAATATTCGCTATTTTGTTCCCCCACCGCGGCTTGTGACCTTTTTCTAATTACCGGAAGTGCCTATTCTGTGTCCAGTCATGCTGGAAGATTATATCTCTACGCAATCTACTACGGCATCTTGTCTGGCAGAAAAACCTGCTTACTTTACAAAAGGGCCTCGTTAAAGGGCGGCCGACTATCAACCACCCATGGACACTCTTGCTGGCCTGCATCGAAACTAATCGTTAGATCCCAGTCTTTCTTGGGTATCTACCGTCTCATCGATCTCGACCGGGAAAGTAACGCCGTTGGCGACTTTCATGTATGACAGCTGGTTATTCATAAAAAATGTACCTGCGCTGTCCGAATAATACTAAAGAGGCTTTTCCAAAAGTACAGTCGCCGTTTTTCTACCATAGCATCTTTTTCCTCCGGTACAGGTAACCGATCAGAAAAGATTGAAATTAGGCAAATTAGAAGTGGTTTAAAATTCAAAAAAGACGAGAGACATTAGCAACGACGTCTGGGAGTGTATATGATGCTATTTTGGCACAGGTCTTCAATTCCATTTGAAGGTAAGGCTCAAAAAATCCTGTCCGTTTGATGGTTTTTGTCATGGTAGACGTGAAACTCATTAAAAACCAAAGTAAAGAGGAGCAAAGCGTCATCCTATCCGAACACAAGGCACGTCTGACTATGGCATGACCCGATCAGTCCACAACGCGAAAGCATACATCCTTCTTAATGACCGTCATTCCAACAAGCCAGCAGCAGCAACAAGAACGAAAGGCATTGTGGCAGAACTAAGCGGACTTCAGGTCATTTGAAAAAGAAAAATTCAGTCACCGAAACGGAATGGCTATGATTAAATGGGATAGGTAAATAGGTGGCAGGGAATGCTTGTCAGTTATGCGGGTAGATCCCATGAACGACTTAGAAGACTTTCTGCACC